TGTATGTATGTATGTATGTAGGTATGTATGTAGGTATGTATGTAATTATGTATGTATGTGTATGTATATGTCTATGTATTCATGCATGTGGATGTGTACGTGTACGTGTATGTTGTATGTATGTATGTTTGTATGTATGTATGTATGTATGTATATATGTATGTATGCATGCATGCATGTATGTATGTATGTATGTATGTATGTATGTATGTATACGAACGTACGAGCCAACGTATGTACATACTTAATCGCCATGATCGTAGCTAGCGGGTCATTACGCTTGGCTGGCATGGTTGAGGGCTTGCGCTTGAGTGGATTTAGGTTCGATGCTTGAAGCTTTAAGAGACTGAAACAAGACTATGAGGCGACCATGGAGGTTAGGAAGCACGTCGGGACGAAGCTGCGAGAGCCGAAACCCAAGAGCCTGAGCAGACGAGGCCCGACTTTGCGAGCATCCGGCTTTTCGGCCCGCCGGAACTAGCAGCGGAGCTATACCACGCCACCAGGGGCCGATAGAGTTAACCTCGTCTGGCCTTTGTGGCATCGGGTGGACAAAAGAAAGCTCGGGCACTAAATGCTCAAAACCTGAAGCTACCAGGTTTGAGGCAATAGACAGAGGAGCTATAATAAATGCAGTCTGAGGCAGTACCATGATTCACAAGCTGCCCTGGCTTTGCGGGGCTCTAGCCGTACCGACAGATGCATGCGTCGTTTTGGGGGCATCTTGCCTCCATAAGCCTTGCCAGCTGCTTACTGCCAGAAGTTCGAATGCGATTCTGCACCCTAATTAAACCCTAAACCCCTAAACCCTAAACCCTAAACTGACCTGAACTTTGCAAGTATCGGCCTGCTTCAATTAGGATCTGGACGGTGCCCAGCACCCAAGCCGTCCATGGTTACCAGATTCCAGTGCAAAGGGCACAGGTGTTTTGGCTTTGAGGTTGTGGTTTTTGGTCTGCTCGAAGGGTCTGGTAACGTAGGACGTATCGGTTAGGATTTGCGTTGCAAGGGCCCGGATCGGCAGGCTTTTCTTTTTGCGAGTGTGCTACCTTCCCCTTCAACCCAGCGAGGAAAATAGATCAGTTGGCAGCAGGCAGGCGGCTATCTGTTTGTCTGATGCTCTTCGGCACGGGGCCATGGGTTTCGACCTCGTTGTGACTGGGTTTTGCAGCGGTTCAGCGGGCATAGGGATGGTGGGTTATGACCCCATGATCCCCAGGTAGAGTTTAGGATAATTCAGGGTTTTCAAACCCAAAACCCCCGTAAACCGATTCTGGCCCGGTTCGGGATAGGGTTCGAGGGCCACACGCGTGTCCTCCGCCACTGGAAACAGTGCCAGATCTTTAGTCTCCACACCCTTCTACTTTAGGATTTACAGTTTCACGGCTTAGGGTTTGGGGTTCAGGGTAGGATTTAGGGTTACTGTGCTTTGTAAGATGTGCTGACATTGCCACCTGCTTTTTGTTTTTTAACCAAGAGTCCTACCGTCACATCCGTGCTATCCCCGCAACTTACAGACTAGAGGTCCTTGCATGTTCTTATGCGGGTTTGCATGCTGTTGTTTGGGTTTTCGTCCGCAGCTGTGTAGTTAATGTCTCTGGTTTGGACTTGTCGCTTGGAATCCGTGCCTGCCCTGTGCGAGTGTGCGAGTCGAAACACTCCCGAGACCATGAACCCATTCGGCCCTCGGCCGCAGATCCCGGTGGTGGATCATTCTCACATTGTGAGCTCCCACATGGTATGAGGCCAAAAGCCCAGCTTCGACATTCCGGCAAGTAAAGTTGTAGACCTGGATGCTGCTATGCTCGGCTTCCAAAAAGCGATACCATCATGCCTATAACTATAAGGTTTCGGTATGTTCGGCTGTATACTTGAGTAGGCATCGCCACTAGTTATTCTAATATCTAGAGCCCCTACATGAATTTGCAGGTCGCCAGCATGACCTCGTGGAAATTTTTGGCGATCTCAGAAAGTCTGATGCTATCATGTCTGTATGGTTTCGGTGAACTGTGCTGTATACTTGAGAAGGCCATGCCATATAGGGGCCTGAATCATTTGCAAGAGCTTGTCGTTACGGCCCCTAAATATTCACAGTATAATATATCGCTGATATGCCCGGCAGCCTTACTGATGTTTAAGGCCCCCACATTTGCAAGATGCCAGCATAACTTCTTGGAAATCTCCGGTGATCTCCAAAACATGGTGCTCTCATGTATGTCTGGTTTCGGTGTAAACTTTGGTAGGCATGGTATTCACGGGCCTGAATGATGAGCAAGAATCTTGCATGATGGCCTAAATAATAACAGTATAGTATACCCTTCATATACCTCAAGACCTTATTCTGATATTAAAGCCTCCTATATGAGCACGATGCCAGCATGACCTCTTGGAACTTTCTTTTGATCTCATTTCCGATTCCCTCTAACTGTAACTTCATTCCTTTGACTTAGGTTTAAAGACCCAAATTTCGCGGAAAAGGTGGAACGGAAGCTATCCGAACCCTTGAAAACCTGTACGTCTGGACCGGAAGCGACATACCGTACTACTGGTTGTGGGACAGTTGGCTCGGACAGGAAAAATCCTGCTCGATTTTGGCCTCAACTCCATGAGTGCTTTCGAGCTCCACCTGTCAATACCAGACGGCCATCTGCAACGGGGACTGCTGCTGAAGTATGCCCTGCAAGCAATCGCGCTGAGCTGAAAAAGCGCAGTGTCAGCAGAAGTCGAATAATCTCTCAGGCTATTACTACAGTCCTACAGGGCCCAAATTAAGGTTTATCCAAAAGCAATTTCACCACAAGTCCCAGTCAAAGATGTCAATGTTATGATGGACGTATGCGGTTATTGCTTACTGCCTTCTCAACCCTGCACGGCCCATGTCGGTCTGAGTCATGGCACATGTGAGTAACAGATTGTCCTCAGGATAGATGCCAGTCTAAAAGCCGTAGTACAAGAAGTACTCATAGTAGTCAACAACTAGCCTCGATACTGGCGCCAAGGAAGACGGTGCAGCAATGTTCAAAAATCCAGTGGCGACCAGGCATCAGGCAAATAAGAGTTTCTACTCTCGGTTTCGTATGTCGCACCCGCCCCGGGCACATAGAGATTCATTGGAGCGAAGTTGGCCATAAACTACCCCCAAACCCTGCTTCTTGCATCTTCATGACATGCCAACCCAAAGCACGAAGCCCCCGACTCTGTGGAGCCTGAAACGTAAGGCCTGAAAAAGACAGGGTTGCGGGACTATGTTGGTATTGTTTATTTGTCTTTATAACTATATAATAAAGAACCCTAAAGCATAGTGTTGCTAGTGATTCAGGTCGAATGCCTTTGCAGGTTCGCCGAGTTGTGATGAAAGTCGAAACGTATCTCCTGGCAGCTAGTCTGGGTTCTTGCGAGGGAGTCTAATTTCAGTTACCGCTGCCAGAGTCTGTTTTGACTAATACAGTTGCCTTACTATGGTGTTTAAAAAGAAATGCGCAGTAGTGGCACGATTCTACCGTTGCCAAGGCAGCATTTCTTCTTTGTGCCTGCCGACCAGATCAAATCTGCGCGGGCCTCGAACCGGCGTTTGTGCGACGAGGACTTGGTAGCCCTCTGGTGATCGAAGGTCCATGGAGCCTGGTAGGGTGGTTTCGGAATGTCCTGAAGAGAAAGGCTCTTCGGACAATGTCGCCATTGCCCCCAAACCCTACAACCTAAACCCTTTAGGAGTGGAAAATCGAGAGTTTGTCGGCCGATGGTTCGCGCGAAACAACAGCGGCAGGGATCAGAACTTTCGGCTCTGAGGCAAAAGGGCGGAAGGTAGAGCATCTACGCCGCCCCTCAGACGGCAGCTCCGGTAAACGACGCAGGTATTTCCATGTTATGCCATCGTCAGACTCAACGCTCTTCCAGTTGATTTGCTGCACCCTGGCCAGAGTTCCTTCGCCTCCAAGCCTCCAGAAGCCAGGTAAAAAGCGTCATGCCTTCCCGGTGAGATGCTGTAAACGCGCGGCAGGACAAGCAACATCGAGCAATGAAGCCATACTGAAGCATGGAAAATCTAGTTAGACATCGATCGCGGTGGGTTCTTGTCGCGCTGGATCCTGGAAGCAAGAGCCGGCGCGCTCCGGGTAGCCATGAAGCTCAACAGGCAGGGGTCATCTGGATTTGGGAGGGCGGGTATGGGGGTGTCTGAGTGTCGGCTTCAGGGCATTGGTTTTTGGCTGATCGGCTCTAGGTAACAGTGAGACCGCTCGGTAGCAAGGATTGTGATTGAATCTTTGCAAAAGTTGATATTTCAGACTCTGGGGGTTTTGGTTCGGGGTGTGGGTGGTGTTGGTGACCAGTCGGAACAACTTTCTTGTCTAGCGTGACAGCAGCTGCAGAGTGTCCTAGCTGTCGTCCGGCCGCCCTGATGCGTGAAATTCGTGAGTTGCATGGATGGATGGATGCATGGATGGATGGATGCATGGGTGGATGGACGAGATGATGTTCGATGTCGCCGTGCTGACCATCTCTCTGCTTGTATCACTGTAGGCTCAATGAACCCTTTCGTCCGAAACATGGGCTCCTCATGCACCGAGTACTTCGAGTGCCCCCGATGCCCTAAACCCTAAACCCATGACCTCAGAGTGATTGCGCTGCCAAAAAACCCATAAACCCTAAACCCTAAACCCTAAACCCTAAATGACCTCGACAGAGTCTGGCTTCTGGATGCCTTGCCCTGCACAAAACCGAGAAAGCCCTCGCCAGGCCTCAGGCTCTCAGCGAATCTGAAACCCCACCCATGTACCTAAACCCTACCCATAGGCCCTAAGCTAGTTCCTGTTTGGGGTTCATATATAGAATCCTATAAGGTAACCCCAAAAAGGATCATATATAGAATCCTATAAGGTAACCCCAAAAAGGAACTACTATGGGGCCCAGAATTAAAGCCCCATGTAGACCTGGGCCTTCTAGATCGCTGTAACTTCACTATACTCTGCCCCCAAACCCTATAGTCGCTCCTTGCGCAGGTTCCTGGGTAAGATGGCTTGCGCCTCAGGGAATCAAAGAGGGCGTCGGGTGACTGGAGCGCTTTGTATTGGGTTTTATAGGGCTCTCGTGGGGTTATAGGGTAGAAGGGCCCACGCCATGCTACATGACATAAAGATTGCCCTGTGAGATACTTCACTGTAAGACCAGTATTCTGGTACTTTTGGGCCGTTGCTAACCCGTAGCGGCCGTACGACCCGAGCGTAGTAGGCCAGTAGGACGTGCGCATTGCGTCCCAAGCCTAGATGCCATTGTCGGTGCACCGATGCAGATTGCAAGGTCAATGAGACGGTAACCATGGAGCTCAAGAATGGCACGCAAGTGCAGGGCACTATCACAGCGGCCGGCGGCTCAGTGCCCAAGCAGCCCCTTGTGCCGAGCATCAAGACTCAAAATTTCGAGTCGCTGGTCCAACCGTGCGACGCTTACATACAGAGCCGCTTACGACGCGGAAATTATTTAAAGCCCAGAGAGGATCTAATCATGATGAAGGTGCTCCGGTGAAGCGTGACGAGGATCGTGCTGCTGCTGCTGCTGCTGCTGCTGCTGGTGATGATGATGATGATGATGATGCTGATGCCGTTGGCCATTCTTGATAGTCATGGTCAAGAGGATCCTGATCATGATTTCGGTGATGGTGACGATGCCTGTGGCGAAGAAGAGCCTGGCACAGGAGAGCGGGATCATGAGCAACATGGGCACTTCTGAACATGCCGAGGCCTTGCAACAGACATCGATCCATGATCCAGACGACAATTCTAGTTCCAATGGCAAAGGTGTTGCTCGACATTCGGGTAATGATGCAGGCCATGATGATGGTGGTGTTGTTGGTGGCGACAGGCGGCAGGCGGCGGGCGGCGGCGATGGTGGTTGTTGGAGGCGGTGGCGGTGGTGGCAGTGCGGCTGTTGATGATCGTTTCGTTGTTGTTGCTGGTGGTGGTTGCGGTTGCGGTCATGGTTTGCTACTTGTTTCTGTATCGTTTGCTATTGTCGTTCTTGTGGCTGTTGCTGATGTCGGTCGGTACTGATTCGTTGGTTGGTTGCTTGGTTGCCTAGTTGTCCAGTTGGTTGGTGGACTTGGTGGACCCCTTCACTCCTTGCCACTGCCCCTGCTGCTGCCCCTGCCATAACGATGATGATCAGAGCTGTCCCCTGGCGATGCTGATGGCGATGCTTACAGGTGGCAACTGATATGGTGCTGATGAGGATGTCGCTGATCGTGCGCACGAGCAAACAGCTGGCAGTGTTTGCCCTACAGTCGCCATCCTCGTCGTCGCGGTCACTGACAGTCTGCATGCTCGAGCTTGTGATTGGGTCCATGTGCTAAAGAATGAAGATGCATTTTTTCACGCTTGTGAGCTCACGGTCGGACTCAGTTCATGCGATCCGCGAAACTAGAGTACTAGAGTCTTAAACTCAGCGTTCGTTTGCCGCTACTCCGCAGCTGCTCTCAGCGAGGTCGACACCTCCATGAATACGCACTTGAAGCAGGTCCGGGCTCAGAGCACAGTGTTGCTGTCTTCAGGGTTGACGCACAGGTCCGCCGACTCAAACCCCTGAAAACCCAACACCCCCAAACCCTACACTATCCCTAACCCTCCTTGTGCCTACTTTTTAGAGCCCTGGGGCTCTTGTACCCTCTATGGTTTAGGTACCTGGAGGGTTGGGGTATTCTGCGCCCAAGCAGCGGCAGCAGCTGCTCTCAAACCCGGTGCTCTCCCGGTTCCGATGTTCGATGCCTGTCGAGGTGCGGGTCACTGTCCGGCACAAGAACCCAGTGAACATGGCCTTCCTGTTCCTCGGCTGGCGTGCTGTCGGGCCGAAGGTGTTGGGGCTTCAGGTACGTATGTATATTTTCCGACGACTTCTTTCTTGCGGTAGGACTTCGCCTGTTGAATCTACAAACAAGGGCGTCGGGCAAACGAAAGCTGAATGTTACTGTAGCTATAACTACGCAAAGCCAGAGCTTCCAAATCACGCAGACATTTGCAACACATGATGTGGTCGGAACCCTTATGGAAACCCTACTCTGGGCCCCCATAGGATGGCCCCTAAACCCTAAAACCTAAACCCTAAACCCTAAACCCTACTCTAAATATTCAGACCCTCCATGTGAGGGCAGAGCTCAGGTCCATCCGCGGGGCCAATATTCGCTATGCTCCTCGGCTTCTTAGTTTGGCCTTTCGGGTCTTGCTTGGAGGCCCAGGGGACTTAGTAAGTAGGTTATAAGTAGAGTTATAAGTACCCTAAATGGAGTTACCCTAATTACTAAGTCCCGTGGGCCTCCAAGTGGTGCAAGACTCAAGGTCTTCTCAGGGCTTAGGGTCTCAGGATTTAGTTCTAGGTTTAGGGTTTAGGGTTTAGGGCTTAGGGTTTAGGGCTTTAGGGTTTAGGGTTCCGGGCTTAGGGTTTAGGGTTTAGGGTTAGGGTTTCATGCTTCAAGCGAGGTTTCACAAAGCCTAAGCCACCCGATGCAAGCTCGTGAGGGAAGAAGGAACCCAAGCCCTTTTCTGTTCAAACTTTCAAACGAAGACCTCCATGCTCCCTTTACAGGAATCTTCCCAGGGACCCTGTTCCAATTGGAGTTCAGTATTAATCCATGCTCCCTTGCAAAAATCGAATGACAACCCCGCAGAAGGCTTCCAGAACCTCAAGCCTTAAGCTGCAGTCGCCCCTGACGTTGTTCGAGTGCGAGTGCCAAAAAAAGCCTCTAACTTAAACAATCGAGGTCATCTTGCCAGAGCATGCCGATCTTAACTTTTTGCTGATCGACGATGTACGGGGCCGAGGTGTGTTGCGAACGTGGGATGACTAAGGTTTAGTGCGTTGGATTGGCTAGATTAGATTTTTAGAGATTGGGGTTCGTTTCTGCCCAGCTTTCCACCCCGAATTAAGCCATCCAATGCGTTTGCAAAAACTCGATACCCACATCAGCGCAACTTCTCCGGCTGGAGGCTGCGGCAGGACCACAGCTCAGAACCACTTCTCCGGGAGTCAGCATCGGAGTTACAGTCACAGATTGGGCGTCAAATAAATAAATAAGTATAGACACACACATGTATATATAATATATGATTATATATAACTATATATATAAATAGTTATATATACATCTATATACATACATATAGATATATACATATACATATATATATATATATATATGTGTGTGTGTGTGTGTATTTGTTCATATTTAGAGCTGTGTTAGACCGACTATATGATGGTGTACCATACCTTGTGATCTTTTGCCATTATGCATTAGACAGCATTGCATCTGCATTGTGCTTTGTTCTATTATTTTCTAGTGTAATATTTGTACAGTATCGCCTAGTATAGTACGGTATAATCTAGTTGAGTAGAGTATGTCAGCATTGCTGCTCTGAGGCACCGAAGCAGAACCCACCGAAGTACCCTGCCGGGAGCAAGAAGGCAAAGAAGGCTTCGCCTGCGCTCGATTGGATGGGGTGGTGTCGCGACCCTTTCTTAGAAGGAGAAGGCTCGAGGTTCAATTAATGCTCGATGCATGTAGATGACGCAACAATTAATTAAGCCAAGACTGATATTTCAAGTCCGTAAAAACAAAGGGGTTCCGACTGAATAAACTAGCCACTGGCCCCAAGCGCCACCAGGAGAGCAAGCAACATTCAGAGCGAGAGACCGCCCGGGGGAGGGGCGGAACAGATTTAGAGCAAAGGGACGGGACACAGCGTGCAGTGCAGCTCTTGACTTCCCGCGAGAGACTGACGGAATAAATAGGGATTCTAGTGTTGGGTTTAGGGTGCTGCCTCCTATTCCACATGCTGAGATGTGAAAAGCGAGACCAGCACTGCATTTTGGAGCCCTGCCTTGAGCTCCACATGTGCCTCGTGGTCTCGGCTACCTGAGCTACTTAGGGTTCATGATGGGAACTGTTATTTATAAGCTGGGTTCTCATCTTGCCTACACCGATGCGATGCTGTGGCTCAGAAGCTAGAAGCTAGAAGCTAGAAGCCAGCCTGACTCCGGACGTACTATAGCTCTCGGCCATGTCTCCTGCACCGTGGCACCCTGGCATGTAATGAGGGTCTTGTGTATCTGAGGTATTTGAGATCTCCGAATAGACCACAGTCAGTTTATTGAGACAAGCCTTTAAAGAAGTGGTGCCGTTCTGTAGACCTTAAATCTTGAAGTTTGGATGACTAGACGCGGTCCTATCGACTTCCACCATGGCCTGCTACTGCTACGATGAGGTAGTCGAAGAATTCGAATTCACTTTTCCTGCCGGCTAACATGATCGCTTGATAATTTGCTAACAAGGTATCTCTTGGCGGGGGCTGCCATCACCCTGGTGGTTCAGAAGTATGGCTGCTGCATCTGGAAGCTTGGGGACCAGGCGCTGAAGCTTATCTGGGCTGAACACGGGTCTGGGTGCCTCGAGAGGGCAGGATGTGCTCTTTAGGTTGCTTTGGCGTCTTTCTTTGGCGTCTTTGTTCGGCAAGTATCCATACGGAAACCTTGCGATATGTTTCGGCTTACTGCAGGCCTTTGGTACATGTGTATATATATATATATACACATACCACTGAACCCTTGTCCTACTATTGGTAAGACCTCCATAATTCTATAAGATCCCCGAAAATCCTGCGACCGGTGGAAGGGACCCGAAATCAAAAAGCTGCGCAGTGTCCTTGTGAGCACGGGAAAAAGGTGGGCATCCGTGGCGCGCCTGCGCCCGTCCGGGAAGTTCCAGATGCGACAGCATGGGAGCCGCTGAAGCAAATCCTGCAGCAGTGGGACCCTTGACCTCAACTTTGCGGTGCTCATCGTTTGAAGCTAACTTGTCATTGCCATGGCTATTGACGTTGTCGTGTCTGCTGCGACCCGATTCGGAATTCATGTAACAGGCTAACTACCGCTGTTTATATGAGAACAGCTAGCATGCGGCCTCTTTAGGATGCTGATTCGGAGGGGCCCTTAGCACATCCAGCTCCCGCTGAACTGACAAATCGAATAAAACCCTGAGCCCGAAACCCGACAACAATTAGACCACCTTTCAGTTACCGGACCAGCCAAGCCCCTCCACCCCTTGAAGGCTGCGTTGTGTCTGACGGAACGACGGGCTTTGCCTAGTAGGGTTTAGGGCTGGGCCTAACACCTAGGAAAGAATGTAGAGAACTGCCAAGACATCGCGAGAATGTGGCTTGAAGTGACTTGACGGTGGCATGCGTGACGAGTTGTGCAGCCTCGATTGAAAGCTAAATAATTTAGCCTAAATTAATTTAGGGGGCTCAATAATTAAGATACTGCTCCTTGCAGCAAGATGCTTGGTGCCTGTGCAGCTCAAGGGGGATGGAAGCGGAGAAGGCATAGATCCTCCGTGCCTTTGGTTTTTTGTTCACATGTTCGTGTTTATCTTGGGTGCTTACGGATGCTTGCTGATTAGTGTTGCGAAGATTATATCAGGACCTTGAAGAAAAGTTGGTACATGTCGCGTCAGTATGCGTGTAAACCTGTCATTGGTCGTAAGAGTCAAAAACAACAATCAGATCGTCAGAGTCAAAGCTACAATCGCATTTTTCATCCATCTGTCGATCTCGGCTATTACCTATAACTATCTCAATGTCATGCTTTAGCCCCTAGTATGTATAATAGTGATAACATCTAAACAAACCAAAGCAATCCCAGGAGTTCACATCGAACTATGCCGTGGCTGATGCTTGGCCGAACTATGAGGAATCTGTTTCACAACTCGGCACCAACGGCTGATGCTCCGGGACATCACAGCTTCGTACTGGTAGCTGTATCAGCTACCTGCAGTACTACTGTGATGTGTGTTCGGCTATTGGTAGTGCCCTAGATGCACGGGCCCGGAGCTGTGCTGCACCCCGCCCGTCTGCTCTTCAAGCGCGACATGAAGACAATTTTGTGGCCAGCGATGCACCAGCCTAGGCTTCGAGGTCGGGGGCTTATTCTAGGGGCAGAAAGAATTACCTATAGCTTCCTTATTATAACTATAGTATGCTGGGCCCCAAAACCCTATTCTAATTGTGTTGTCCCCTACGTTAATTAGATATGGAGACCTGGAGGGCAAGAACCTTGCGCATCCTACAAACTGGAAGTTGAAACAAGTCGCATTCTCGGCAAAAAAGCACAGATCCTATGTGACCTGTAGGAGATGGGACACGTCGTAGTCCGGTTCCCTCTATACATGTTCCTATTCAAAACGTGAGACTGTAGAAAGGCTATCTCAATCACAGAGCCGTCAGGTTTTTTAAGCTTGAAATTAGAGGCCCAAGCAGGACTGCAGGGAAACACGTGGCAATCATATCAAGCCACAGGCCTGAGCATTCCTTCAGCAAGATCTCGGAGTTTGGGAAGCACGGCAGTAGCCTCGACAATAGCAAGCCCTAAAAGGTTCCTACGATGAAGGCCTCAGACGGGTGTGAAGCCAAGCTGCTTCTGCTGAGAAACTCGCATGTCAATCTGGGCAGCTTCAAGATCGCAAGGTGGCACACCTTACATCGGCTACTGCACCATAGGCATATATTATCACCGGCTATCCTCATACGACTGCACCCTGCGACCATGTAGTAGGACAGACATGAAGTCTTGCAGTCGTACTTATAGGGCTGAAAATCTGTAGGGAAATGGTGTCGTGAATCGTACCTGACAATCCGCAAGGTGGGCGATGCCACCAACGGACGGCTCTTCACTTATGAGGGTGGCAACTTCACCCTGAAGACGCCACTTGCTTCCGACTTCAGGGGCCACAATACGAAGCAACGTTGTATCTGGGATGTAAAGTAGCTGATCCCACTGCCAAGAGCCACCATGAGGCCCTTTCGCCATTGACAGGCCGGGAGGTTTGGGGTCGCCAACATCAGGTCACATGAAACGACCATTGTTCACATCATTCTAGCAGTTCTAACAACCCGCTATGCACCACCTATCTTCAGAAAAGTTCTTTGCAGACCCAGACGCAATGCCTTTAAGATAGGCCTAGACCTAACATGTCCCCAAACCCCGAAAGTAACAGAAGCGAACAAGCCAGCCTGTCAGATTTACCTCCAGTTTTCTTGTTACGGTTTGGGGCAAAGGATTTGTAGGGTTTGGGGGTCTCAAGTATAAGGATCGAAGATATGGTAGGAAAGTCGTTGTATGACCGTGGTTACACTCGCATATGCATCGTCATATCTTAGCCATGGGCCCCGAACTACGTCTTTGGGCAAGACTTGGAGGGCATATCCAGTCGACTCCCTGCTTGGGGTTTATGGTCTGCTTAGACCTTTAGGGATTATGGCCGCGGGGTTCTGGCCTTTGGATTGAGGTTTGCGGCTGTCCTGCATTTGGCTCAGGAAGATCCCAACCGGCAGCACCAGCAAGTGGCCATCGGCAATGATGTTCCCCGGCAGAACAATCTGATTACGTAAGAGTGTATGCTGGGCAATTATTATTGTTATTATTATTATTATTCTTATTATTATTATTATTTGTATGATTATTCTGATTATTACTATTAGTATTACCAGCGAGAACAACTTTTTCCTGGTGCCGCAGCTCCTGCAATGTCGAGGTTCCCTGTTTCAGAAGGTTACTGATGCTTGGCACGTTCGGAAACTATGCCAGCCTCGTGATTTCAATTTTGAGGTCAAGTCCAGGCTCTAGAATCAGGTAAGTTGCATGCGTGTCTGCTGCCACTCAAGCCATCTGAAGATCCCATGGCAAATCAAACGATCATTGAACGAGCTCTGCAGTCTCAGCGACACCAGGATCCCAAAGAAGTTTACCTGGTCCCTGTGCCTTCTTGGGCGCCTGTTTGATGTTTTTATCTCATAATCTCGAAATCCTGACACCCTAAATCCTAAACCCCTAAACCCTAAAACCTCCCTGGCAAGGACTTCTAGCTGTTCTGCAGTTGGAANNAAAAAAAAAAAAAAAAAGCTTCCACGGCCTTGGCAATGTGAGTCAGAAGCCCCATGAAGCCTTTCCCGTCGTCTTCGCCAGCAATTGCAGGCGGTGCGTCGATCAAGTGCATTGCAGGGGTAACGGCTTCAGCAAGAATGACAGCATACGTAATGATAATAGTTATAGAAATAATCTTGATAATCGCAGTCATAATGCTAACACTAGTCTAGTGCTGATACGAATAATGATGACAACACTAATGGTAGACATGACAGTGCTACGATTGTTCCAGTTCACGAGTGGTGTTCTTTATCCCCAAACGCAGATTGAAGGTAACAATACCCGAAGGGTCCATGTACTCAAACAGTATATACATTGGCCTTCAAGTCGTTCTTATAGAGGTACATTGGGGTCAAAGTATCTCCCATTTGGGCACATGGACCCTTAGGGAATGGCTACCAGGTTCGCCGGCCTGGTCAACGACGGCTCCGTTAGCTCCCTGGACGACCCGATCTACAAGTATTTGCCTTGGTGGACGAAGGATCCCAAGGACGAGCCGTCACCGTTGCGGGTTGAGGGGGGTTTGGGGGGTGTGACGTTGTGGGTGTAGGCTTTTGGGGTTGAGTTTAGGGTAACCCTAAATCCTAAGCCCTGCTCTTTTTGAGAGTTGTTGTTCGGGGTAGTAGTTGGTTTCAGGTTTAGGTTTGGCGTTGTCGCTTGTCGGGTATAGCTGCAAACAGTGTGATCGAGCTGAAGCTGAAGCGGAAGGAGCATAGAACTACAGCGTTAAATTCGGGAGCTGTGGGGTTTGATCAGGGTTGAGTCGGGAAGGTTTGTTTGTTGTAGAGCGCTTACGAGAAGTCAAGTTGGTACAAGGACGCAACTAGACGACGAGAGTATGAGACGACAGCCGACGATTACTCAGTGGGTGAGCTTACTGCTGCCTATATAGGTAGTCGTCTAGATTAGGGTCCTTGCAGAACTACTCAAAGGTTTTTCTGGGTTTGCATCACAGTCTTCTCGGTGTTTTGTCGACAAAGCTTTGGCCTTTGCGTCAAGTCTGGGTCCGTCTGACTAGTTCCGGGAAACACGAACGGTTTGGGGCCTGGGGTTTAGGCATATTGTCTCCTGAGCCTTCTACGGCTCAATCAGGACCCTCGCTCCACTGTGACGCTCCTTGGCAGCAAATCTCCAACACCACTGCTGGAACGCGCACGGCAGATGCCGCCTTAGATTGACCAGAGGCACACGTATCACTGTTGCATCCACAATACCATACAACATCGCCGTCACACCGGCAACAACAACCACCGCCAGAATTCCGAGAATGGTTCGAATAACAAAGCTGGCCATCACAGAGCGATGAGAGTGTTGCGTCTCTGTTCCTGTTTGCTCGAGGTTCCGCATGCTCCTGACCTTCACCTCTGGCTTTGGTGATGGCCATCCCGGTGAGGAGGCCACTGCCTGAGTTAGTGTTTAAGGTCTTAGGGCATAAGGGCGTTTGGAACTGAGGGCCCAGGAGGGATTGCTATGAGAGATTATGACAGGTGGGGGATTGGTGGGTCGAGACTCTTCGTAGCGCCAGTATGTTTCTACTGGCGTCGGCCCCTATCTGAACATGCGCATGGTGTCACCGGACTAGGTCCAGCTTTAGCTCCCACTAGGCGAGCCCTAAGCCCTAAACCCTAAACCCTAAACCCCTAAACCCTAAACCCTAAACCCCTAAACCCTAAACCCTAAACCCCCCCTCTGAATGCGGCTGACGTCACAGAGCTGTGCCGAGCACGGGCCAGAACTCTTAGCCTGAAGCCCAGGACATGTTCATCACTTCGAAGTTTTCAAGTTCCCCTAACCCGAAACCCTAACCCCTAAACCCTAAGCGGCTTAGAACCGAGTCAGACCTCACGAAATCCGAATCGGTGGAGGCCAACACTCGCGCTGCAAGGGAGTGGCGTCGTGCGAACCGCCCGAACGAGACGAAGGCACGCTCAGAAGCGAAAAGGGCTTGGGCCTACAAGCCCTAAACCCTGTAGATCCATCAAACTCTACACCCTAGAGAACCCGCAAACCAGAACCACAAAACTAGACCCTACAACGCCGAACCCTAAGTCCAGTTCACACTGAGAAGGTTGAGGGCCCTGAACGTTGGAATATAGAAGCCTTGAACGAATTACCATCTGGTTTAGGGTTTAGGGTTCAGGGTTTAGGGTTAGGGAATTACCATCATAATTCTTTAGTGTTCCTTATTGTTGCTATACTATAAAGGGGCTTCGTCGTTTTGCTACTACGGGCTTCGAGGCCTCGGGTTCGTGGGGTTGCCTTTCCCCAGACCCCCAGTTACACAAACAACATGCCACTAGCCATATAACGTGTATGTAGCCCAGTAACCTATTCTTTAAGATAACTGGAACCCTAGGGTTTGTTGCGGCTTTCTGAGTCCTAACTGCGGCGCGTTTTGCGGGGGAAGGTCTTAGTAAAGACTTGTTTCTTGGTTTAGGGCAATCTCGGTCATGAGTACTGTCTTGTGGGTCAAGCTGGGCAGTAAGGGCAGCAGCCGAGTCCCTTGTGAAAAACGGGTAATTTAGGGTTGCTGCACTCTCTTGGCTTCACATTTTGCCTTAGCACGGTTTCGCTTGAATGCATCCACGCATTTGCCGGCACGTGACGTGTTGTGGGTTCCTTCTTAAAAAACCCTAAACCCTAAACTATGCGGAGCCTTGCCGGCCTTGTGCGAGTGTGAGAGTCGAAACCCTAAACCCGGCATAGGAAGCTTCAAGTGTCACGCCGACCTTTGCGCCTATGGATCCTCGCCTGGCTTGTCCGAGTTGTGAGAGTGTAAACCCTAAACCCGAAACCCTAAACCCGAAACCCTAAACCCGAAACCCGAAACCCGAAACCCTAAACCCAAACCCTAAACCCTGAACCCTACACCCTAGAGGCCGTGGTGGCCCGACGCTTGGCCGCCAAGCCTTGCGACCAGCAGTCCGGATGCATCATCGGCTGCGCCAAGTACATCTACGAGAACGCGCCTCGGTCCAACTCAATGAGACACACCACTGTACCATAATACATATTATAATACGATAACACTATAGTACTAGAATGGACTATAACACTATAATACTATATTATTACAGTATGCACCAGTCATGCTCTTGAGCAACTCCTTAACTCCTTTAGGCTTTATAGGGTTTGGGGTCTAGGGTATGGGGTTTCGGATTTGGCGTTGGGGGTTTTGGGCTTCGGAAACTTATCTTCCTTTGATTGCGATATTCATGTTGGGATCGCCGCAAAATTTTGATTTCTGGTTATCAGAAGGACGTAATATAGGGGCCTAAATAATTACCAATACAATTTGGGGTGTTCCTTATTGTAATGACAGTATAGAGGGCTCCAAAACCCTATTCTGATTACTAAGGCCCCTACATTAATGCCTGTGTTTCCTTTGTATCTTCCTCCACTGCAAAAGCCTCTGTCGGTAAGCCAACAACTAGGCTTCCTACCTGTGTTTTGTCATCGGTCTGCACTTCTGGAATAATACTGAAGTGTGAAGGAACACTGCTGACAGACTTCATGACGAGGATAATATTTGCCGCATATGCCTGTACTAAAAGTAGCAGACTACACGAGCTGTAAACATACTGGCTACTGGCGACCAAAGATTTTTCAGAGCGCACTGCATTCAATGAATCTCGACGACCTATAGCTACATTCACCTTCGCGCCTAGTGCGAAGACCAGCCTTATAGCTCCACATGCGCCTGACGACTTTGAGTCTAGGGTCTTCAGCTAGCATTCATCAGCCAGGTAAAGCTCATCGGAACCCCGGGACAGGCCTGGTATTCGCAAGTTGTTGCAAGGCTTCAGGTTTCGGGCAAAAAGAGGTTGTCACCGGTTTTTCGGAAGGCGGGTTCCTTTGGGTTTAGTTCGGGTTTCTTACGCTGGGATCTGGCATGCATCATTCGACCTGACCGAGGCATGGCCCGGGTAGGGTTTTGGAGCTAACTGCATCTAGAATCTATCGACAGGCGTCAACAAACAGATTGGGACTGTTGGCATGTTGTACAAAGTGAGCGTCCTGGGTGGTTTAGACTCTTCGACGAATCTACACAAGGATGTACTAGAAAAGCCTGCAGCGCATGTAATCCAGAGCCTCCAGATGCTTGTAGAGCTGTGGGTTCCTGTCACGTCCAGTGTGTCCATATGTGTAAATAAAAAAATAAATAAACATATATATATATATACACAGTTATATATGTTTGCAGGTAAATGTAAGGTTTTGTATACATTCTGGTCTGGTTGGGTCTGGTTTGGTGCGGCATGTTATTGTATAAATATATACAGATTTACACATCGATGTACAATGTGCCCGGGTGTGTCTGTGTGTGTTCCTGTGCGTAGCATTCAAGGTGACAAATGGGAGTTTCCGAAAATTAGGGTACCTTATTTTGGCGTCCTTTTTATAAGGATGCTATTATTTGTGCCATATTAGCGTCCCCTATCTTCGGAAACCCCCAAATCAATTCCATTTGGCAGCTGCGGGCTTTAACCAGGACACCTGACCGACCTGACTCCAGGAGCATCTTCCGACATGGCATCTAGGTGCCTTCTGCTTCTGATCGCAGGGTTCCTGGCACTTCTGCAAGCTCTGTGTGCCGTCCCGGTTTCTTCTCGGTTCACTGTTCCACCTAGACGGGGCACCTACGGCCAAGAGGTGAAGCGTCTGTATCATGTCACAGAGCACGGCGAGGCCATTCGCAAGGATGGTTTCATGATTCCTGGTGACAAGGGCAGCGTCGGTGGTGGCATATACTTTGCAGATAGTGAGTCGGCTGCGCAGAGCAAGGCGACCAGCTTGGGCTACCTGGTCGTGGCGGATGTGCACGTCGGTAAAGCTCTGGCCATAGACCAATCGAGCCGCACGCACGAGGACTGGAAGCTAAGTGAGTCGCCCTGGCTGCTTGCTTTGTCAGTGATTGCTGTGGTTTCTTTGGTCCTCGTCGGGGCTATGCATCTCTACGAGATGGTGACGAATGCCGGCCCAGTTGACATAATGGACATGATTGATATGTCCGACGTGTCTCCGCCACTCGGCTCTTTCACTGGAGGCGACTGGGCGAGCTGCTTCCGTTCCTTGCAGGAGGCAGGATACGACTCTGTCTATGCCACGGGCCTCAACGGAGGGCCAGAGTATGTGGTCTTCAACGAGGATCAAGTGCAAATTGTGGAAGTTCGCCGGATGTAGTGCAGCTCCACCAGAGGGTCTGCTAGCCGGAAACTGGCCTGAGACAGTTTCCTGCACCTTCAAAATGCTCTTTGATCAAATCCCCTATCATCCGTAATGAGGATTATATGAGTATACATGAATATAGCAGAATTGCTTGGAGTTGCCACAGTACCATAGTGTAGGATACTTAAACTATCCGATTTCAGCAATCGGGCCAATCCGCCATCATTCCACAAAACAGGGTATGCAACGCAATGCGGGATTTTCGCCATCAGAGGCATCTTATCCGGTGGTCACGAGCTTCGTGGCGAACCACTGTTCCCTTATTCGCATTTGAAGATAGTCGAGACCACTGCATGCCTTCATGCCAAAGGTTGCAGCGACAGCCCCATGCAAAGAAAACGCTCAAAATCAAGTGTGCCCCCATCAAAAGACCAGCTGTCAAGGCGAGAAAGCCCCGCACTGCCAGATTCTGATGTCATTCTCGAGTCTCGAGTGTTAAAGCTTGGGTTCTTGATGTTGCATGCATGTGAAGCTAGAGAAGTTCGGCCCCCATGTGCCCAACTTCAAGCCCAGCTGCAAATTTGGGTTTCGGTTTCCTGCTGCCCCCTTTGCACTATCGGAGAAGAGTATGATGAGATGGCTCAGTGAGTGTGATGCCAACAAGCTGAACGTTCGAGGGTGCATGAACTAGTGGTTGCGTCTGTTTGTGAGGAGTCGGCAAGCTTTTGAGCTTGAGCGGGAGTGTCTTTCGGCGTTTCGGTGTCGAGTTTAAGTTTAGAGCTTAAGCCCTTGACCCGTGACCTTTCGAATTAGGAGCTGTGCGTTGAGCCGAGAGGGAGAGCTGGTATCCCGAAGTCGACGACGAGTCGTCGTCCAAGAGCCTCACCCGGCAGTGTCCGGGTAGTACTGCTATTCTTTAGGGGTTTAGGCGGTTTAGGGTTTATAGGGTTTAGGGTTTAGGGTTTCTTGCCTGAATAATTAGAATAGGGCTTCGTGTGTATTATTTCATAATAAATACAATAAGGAACCCCCAAAACCCTATATTAAGGCCCTTGCATGAGTAGCTTAGTTTCTATGTACAGGCACAAACAACACCAGCTTCTCGAAAACACTTGGGCATTTACTTGAACCCAAATGGGAAGCAACAGATCCCTGTGTGTACTGTGAGAAGTTGTTGAACTTCTGTTCTAAGCCGCGTAACCTTACACGTAGATGTCCTTCTCCGAGAGACTTTTCTGTACAGATTCTCGACGACTGGTCGTTGAAGTACGGCTCGATGCTACAAAGCATTGCAGGCATCGCAACTAAGCTCAGTCAGAGGATCAGCTCAAAGTTTAACAGAAAGTTAACAGATGCACAAGCCATCGCCAGCTTCGTTCGCGCCAGATTTCTGTCCCCACACACCTCAAAACCCTATAGTACTGTAACCATTAAGGTCTTCATATACATTCCTGTATCCAGGTGTACTCCTACAACTCCAACCACCTGCAGTTGGCAGCGGCAGTTGCCGTGACAGTGACAGGCCTCGACATCCAGCAGGCCGAATCTGGCCCTAGGGTTCGGGGCTTGGGGTTCAGGGTTTAGGGTTTAGGGTTTAGGGTTTAGGGAAAAGGGTTTAGGGTTTTGCATTTAGGCTTCCGGATTTAGGGTTTAAGGTTCAAGGCCAACTGTTCCTATAGGCTCATACCCTACTCTCTTTTTTTAGTTTCCTACTTTGCTACATAGCAGATCCCACCCATGAAAGTAGGTACCCGTTTAGGTTTTTTGGCTTAGGGACTAGATTATACTAGGGGTCTATACAGTTTAGGGGGCAATAGTACACCACTAGGACTTGGCGTAGTCATCCTGCTTGCAGTGTTGTACCTGGGCTGCTACCAGAGCTTGAAAGTCCACCTAGGGATTTGAGGGTGCAGGGTTCAGGCCTCAATGCTCAGTAGTTTTGTCCTCACGGATCCAGATCCCAACTTTAGTAATAAAGGGGGCGTAGTACATGATTGATTCTAGGTAAACCTCCGAAGAGCCGCGCACACATTCGGTGTCCTGAGTTGCATAAGCCTCTATAGTAGGGTTTAGGGTTTAGGGTTTATACGGTTTAGGGTTTACGGTTTAGGGGTACTGTAAGGGCCATGCAAAGCTGAAAGGACGTCTCGTCTGCACGAACCCTTCCCTTTGCCAAGTGCCGAACCGCTAGGTTCCAGATGAATGTTGGATCTCCGGAATTACAGTATTACATGATATTCGATTATGTGAGACTATACGATGTTATGTTTTTCATAAAAGTCAATATTGCATGATATTATATTAAGTGATAGTATATTGGTAGTTTCTTATTACATCAGAGACATCATAAGCCCTAGACTGAAGAAGCACAACATGCCCCAGTTAGCAGATTCAACCAACCATCTCCGTCGTTCATCCAACGACTCCCTTCACTATGAACCCTAAACCCTTAAAACCTGAAACCCTAAGCCTCTCGGGAGGTCATTCAGAAGTACCTGGTTACTGCTTTCGGCATGGAAGACAGCTCCTACCCTGGCAGGCCGTCTTGTCTCGAGGGAGCTTCTGGCCAACGACATTGTGGTTTGGGTTTAGGATGGTTTAGGGATGTTTTAGGCCTTATTCAGGTGGTGTCACGTTTATGAGGTTTCGGCATTTCGGTGTTTAGATCGAACCTCCACTCTCCAGCAAGCCGCAAAGACATAGTTTTCTGCTAATCTGGGTGCAGATCATCCCGTAGAATTAGAATGACCACTAGTCTCAGGTCTCGAGACCCGGTGTTCCAAAGTAATTTCTACAACCCGACGTCCTTTTGCATTTGTAAAGTTATCGCGTTGAGTCCGCTTAGTTGCGAGCTGCGTGCCCACAGAAAGAATGTCTATAGAGTTTCCAGGCTTAGTTGGTTCAAGGGGCGGCTGGTTTCTAAACCCTCCCTAAATGCCGAACACTCAACCTGCAAAGCAGCCAAACCCAAAGGCCTTAAACCCCACTCCAAACCTTGAGCGTAACAGGTGCCCAGACTTCGGCGCCGACCTGTACACGACAGGACACGTGTAGGAAGGATGTGTGGTTTTTGGCACGAGTTTGGGTATGGGTTTAGGGTTTGAAGTTAGGGTTGACTGGGTCTAGGGGGCCCAGGAATCCCTTGCCCAAAGTCGTGCCAAGACTTCTCACCCTCCTCAAGGCATCCTGTCGTGCACGGGTCGCCACCGAAGTCGGGACACCTGATTGAATTTAGGCTTGGTTTTTTTCCAGACTTTGGGGTGCGCAAAAGGTTCTGAGTGGTCAAGGTCCGGGGTGTGGAAAGCAGCAGCTTCTTGACGTGAACTACCTATAGTCTCCATTGTAGTTCCTTTTTGGGGTTACCTTTTAGGATCCTTAAAATAAATTTGGTGAAACCAAAAAACAGAACTACACTGGAGACTATATGTAGAACACATCAGCCAACCGAGGTTCGGGGTTTCTTTGGGCACTTGCAGTATGGGCCGGCAATTTTGCAGAGACAAATCGGAAAATGCGCGGCCGCAGATGGACTTCACGGTGAAGTCCTTGCGTGAGGCCGTGAGTTTTCCGGCGTGTGTCCCCGTTGAAGCACTTTCTTGCAAGCTGCCGGCTCACACTGCAAGCGCGCCCAAAGAGACCCCCAAAACCTCCGATGGCGCAAACAAGGTCAAGAAGCAGCGTCTTTCCGCACCCTAATGCTGACCACTCGGATCCAACATCCCCAAAGTCCCACAAGCCCCCCAGGCCCCATCGATCCTAAACCAAACAGGTGCCCCGACTTTGGCGGCGACCTGTACACGACAGGATGGAGGGATGAGGTCTTGGCACGAGCTAGGCTCTGGGACTACTCGGCACAGCCAGGGTTTAGGGCTTAGGGTTCTGGCTTTTCCGGCCGAATGCAGAAACGGTGTGAGGTGGATGTAGTAGGGCGGAGGTTTCCGGGCATTGCCGAGGCTGGGTGGGCCGGTGACCGCACCCACATATCGGAATCGGAACATGACATTTGACCACATACACCCTGTCGCCAAGGACCCCAAATAGGCGGTTGACAAAGTAGGAACGGCAATACTACCTCCGCATGCTCATATACTCATGCATATGTGCATGTTTGCAACACGCCGTGGGACCTGACCCCTAGAGACCCTAAAACCTGATATTCTTGACGAAGTCGTAACACTTCTCGTTCCGAAGGAGCGGATTACGAGAAGTTCATGAAGAAGCTCTTGGGCTATGAGGCCGGCTCGGGGATGCAGAGAGGATGGTGGCAGGGAGACTTTAGGGTTTAGGCTGAGGGTGTTTAGGGGTTGACGGTTTTTAGGGTTTTAGGGTTTTAGGGTTTTTAGGGTTTTTAGGGTTTTTAGGGGTTTAGGTTGTTTTGGGTTTAGGCTTCAGGGCTTTGGGGTTTTGGCTTTAGGGTTTGTTTGAGTTGGAGTGTGTTAAGGGCGCGAAACCGCC